TCGCTTTTCGCATTAAAGTATTGATGTACTATTTCTCATTTAATGGAACTCATTTCCAACCAACGAGTGAGAAGCCAACCGTTTTTACTTGTCTTTGGTGAAACATTGCGTCACTCATTACAATTTTCTGCGTTCGTAATCTTGCATCTGTCGGAGGAAGTTACCAATCGCTTCTTAAATGGGTTTTTCAGACACCAAATATCACGTTTAATCTGATAGATTTTTTTGGATAAGTTTACTCTACCAGCTCATTTTTACTTCACAATTAAAGCTTACATAATCTTTAAATCGTTTGTTTTGGTCTTAACATTCCCCTTTATATGTAAATGGTGTTCCACTTTTCCTTGCAGAATCTTCTATCAAACGTCGGAGCCTCTGTTGCCACTTGCTCTCAACCGCCCAATGGCCTTACTTTGTCAACTAGATCTGGCACCTCCGCCCCTGCTGCTTCTTCTGTTTCATCTACCGCTTTATTATCTGACCCTCCTAACTCGCTTTCCATAACTTCATTTCCTGCCTCCGTGACCATCAATAATATGGGTGTTTCCTCATCGACTGGTCAATTATCACTTCCAGGTTTTTATGCCGGCACTTTCACCCCAGTCGATGTCACTTCATCAGTTACCGTTCCGACTCATTCAGTGATAACATCAGCACCTACTACGCTACCCCCAACAACGGTGACGTCCTCAGCCGTAATGGCGCAGGTCCATTCTCAGCAGCCAATCACTTACGCTAGTATGGCTGCAGCAGCTATGCAGCAACATCAATTGCAACTCAGTCAGCACCAACAATCTAGTAACAATCTACAGAGTCAAATAGGTTTCGTCCAGCAGGCCGGCCATCAGCAAAAGGTTAGGTGCTGGTTACGGTGAATTTGGCAGATGTTTCTTTTTTCAGGAGATGGACGTCCTCAAAGCTAAAGTTTCAAGTTTACAATAAGTCAAAAGAACTATCCTGCTCCATGCTACATTCTATACATACTCATAAAAAATACAGAGATATTGATGGATAGATGTAAAATAATTTAGAAGTGGGTTGACCTCGTTTTCGCAACTTGTTCTTGTCTTGAAGGAGACTTAGTAGAGCACACCTAGTCCGAAGTCGTCTGCCATAGTAGTCATAATTTCCATCATTAGACAGTGGACTTGGTACATTCTCAAACGTTTCGCCAGCATCGTAGTCGACATCATCAGTTAGTACTGTCATTCTCCGCACCAAGCTACGAACTCATCAAAGAGACAAGTGAAGTCAATCTTTCCACCAGCGTTCTGCCGAAAACGCTTGTACTATCATTCCTCTTTTTGTCCTGGCCTATCTATCTACTCTCGCCCTATCACTTGTTTACATTCAACTCGTCAAAATGTGTGCCCTTCAGGTGTGGCCTCATCACACTTGCTATTCACCCTGACCCACTTTCCTTTGATTGGCTAATCCGACTCGGGCCTCCAATCTGGATCCCTTTCATGGTCCCCTAGATCCGTTCCTTCTCTTTCTGGTTGACCGGTTTCACTTGGTTCCAGTCCCAGTGTGTATTT